TTCTGAAAGAAAAAAAATAATGGATTAGTTTTTGTTGTTTTTGTAATTATTATTATTGTATTTGTTATATTTATGCAGGGTTGTTCACCACATACGACACGGAGTATTGTAGCTAAACGATTAGATTTTTACAAATTGTAAGTTTTGGGTTCGTTGAAGGATTATTAGAGCTACAATTTAAAAATATTTTTATTAAAGATACAGAGGCTAAATAAATAAAAAATATCAAAGTTGTATTTTTAAATGGAACACCCTGATATTATTGCATTTTAGTTTCTACGATTAAAATAAAGGTAAATTTGATTAAGGTTTATTACACTTAAACCTTACCAAGTTTTTGAATATTTTCAATTTTGTGAAATTGCAGAAGTAAATTTTAAGGCTGTATTTCTCCTTGAGGGTATCAAAGTTTTTAATACTAAATATTTATCAGAAGTTTGTTTATTGATCAGTTATTGTGATGCAATAAAATTATACTACCTTATATAGATTGTCTAAAAATTTATTTTAAATAATTAGCTTTAAATGGCAATAACTTGTTTAATTTAAATGAACACCCTGCATATTTATGAGAGTTTATTTTACAATTTAATTGTGTATCAAATTGTATTATATCACTTTTACCTATCTCTTCAAGTTTTCGTAGAAAATGCATTTTTCATAATTTAGACCTATTTATTTAATATATCTATGGAATATTGACATTTTATATTGTTTTAAATCAACAAATGTACAAAATGTTCAGGCTAGTAATATTATCATTTTTAGTAAAACGATAATATTACTAGCTCATTTGTATGCAAAAAGAAAACTATTTAAATCTTTATAAAAGAGTATACCATTAATTAAATATACCACCAGTATTTCCGCCCAAATACTAGTAGTGGGAACTATCGAATGAATACTATCGAAACATTCGATAGTTGCAATTCATTCGAATAATTCGATAGCTAATAAGAAAACATTCGTCGAAAACTATTCGAATAAAAATATCGAATGGATGCGTCATCTGCCTTGAAATATATTAATTGGCAGCAAAACCATTCATTTATAAAATTCATTCATTTGCAAAATTCATCGGTCTGTCGGATCGATTATAATAAAATATAAACTGGTTTTTAGTTGTCGCCCGGCGACGGAGGTTCCTTTCCGAGAAACCCGACAGCGGTCGGTGGCAATGGTATGAAAAGAGCCGGCATCTTTGATTTGCGGAGTCATATAAAGATAAGGACACATTATTTTTTTATTGAGGTGCAAGTATTTACACAGAAAATACATTATGAACGGCGCTGTTGCCGTATATTCGTAATAGTTGGTATTAGCAAAGAATATTATTCTTTTGGTATTATAGTTAGTTAGGGATAGTATGACCTGTGGTATGACTATATTTTGCATTTTTTATTAATATTCTGTTGTTACACTGCAATAATACTTTTATTTTGATGTAGGAAAATGATTTTAATGTTTTTAGGCAAAACTGGTTTAATAAATAATAATAACAGTAATAATTTGTTATACCTATTAACACCAAAATTGAAAACCATTTAATATAAACATTGTTTAAGTAGTAGCAAAATATAAACAACAAATTAGAAGTCAAAATATTTATATTAGATCCTATTTAAAAATAATATAGTCTCTAAATTTTTTGACCACCTGCACACGTACACAATCGTCAATTTAAAAAAAAACACTACTACTTTAGTATTTTAAATATTTTAATAAACGCAAAAATAGCACAGTATTTAGAAGGCAAGTTATAAAAATTTGGAAGAACTAATAATGCACTGACGCAGACAAAAATCAAACAAATACTAAATTTCATTTATCTAAAGCATTCGATAGTCGTGGCTTAACGTTAACCATTTAGTCGCACGGCGAGGTTGTCACATATGCTTTAGTATACAAATGAATGAATGATTTTATTCTAATGAAACCATTCGATAGTTGAAATCATTCATTCAGTAACCATTCGATAGTCTAATTCATTCGATAGTTCCCATCGCTACCAAATACTAATTAATTACATACTTAATTGTGTTCATTAATAAATTATTCTAAATAAATATGGATTTGCATCAGAAATCAATATAATAATAAGTTATGAAAATGGACGTCTCTGTTGTTAGAAATAAGCATTTGTCAAAAAATGAAATATAATTTTTAAGGTGTTATTTTTTTTACTACACTGTCTAATACACATACATAATTCAGATTTTTAGTATTTGGAGCAATAATTATTATTAATCAACGCAAACAGTCAATGTAGTTTGAATACTGAAATCATATTAATTGGTTCTCTTTAACAAATATTTAAACAGTTTTTTTTATTTTTTAATGAAATAAACGAACTATATCAACAATATTAGTATCTGTACTCTTTAAAAATTATCTAAAATGTCAGTATTCCATGGGTATATTGATAAATGCGTTCTAAATTACAAGAAAATGCATTTTCTACAGAAACTTGAAGAGATAGGTAAAAATCGTATAATACAATTTGATAGACAATTAAATTGTGCATCTGATTCTCATAAAATATACAGGATGTTCCATTTAAATTAAACAAGTTATTGCCGTTTAAAGCTAATAATTATTTAAAATAAATATTTAGACACTCTGTATAAAGTAGTATTTTATTTATTATTGCAACACAATATCTGATCAATAAATAAACTTCAGTAAATATTTAGTATTAAAAACTTTGATAACCTCGGAGAAATGAAGCCTTAAAATTTATACTGCAATTTCACAAAATTGAAAATATTTTAAAAACGGTAATCAAATTTACCTTTATTTTAATCGTAGAAACTAAAAATGTAATAATATACAGGGTGTCCTATTTAAAAAAATACAACTTTGGTATTTTTTATTTATTCGGGACACTCTGTATGTTGTAAAAATATTTTTAAATTGTAGCTCTAATAGTCCTTCAACGAACCCAAAACTTACAATTTGTAAAAATCTAATCGTTTAGCTACAATATTCCGTGTCGTATGTGGTGAACATCCCTGTATACACGAAAATTAAAAAAATGCACGATTTTTTCAACATCATTTTTTGAGAATATCATATAATTTTTATAATAAAATGGTATACATGATTTATCTATACTTAAATGGATGAGGCGGCGAGCGTTCCCTGAAAGCGCTAGAGTAATACCGCTGATTTCGTCACGATCTTTTTGTCTGCCCTTTTGCATACAGCTTATTAAACTTACAGCTTTATACAGCTTATGACATTCCACCAATCGGCATGCATGTGTGCCATAAGTTTTTTTTCAAAATTTCCTGCCTCTTCGTTGTCTGCCAATGAATTTTAGCGACGAGACAAATGTCTGCCAACAATTTTCCACGTTTCTTAATAATAAATAAAAGTTATTTTCGCAATTTTAGCAATATTTTTAGTGTCAAAATTTCACCCTTTCGATTGGCCGCGCCCGCTTTAAGTCCCGTGATCGCGCTGGCATACACAACTATTTCATAATGGCTACACAAAAGGATACTTCACAAGAAAAATTAGCCATGTACCGATGATAAGGTTTTTTATCTAGCCAGCTCTTGGACTATATTGTTCTTTGACGGTTCTTCTTTTTACTATTTCTTAACGTTTTAGTCGAACAAATAAACGGAAATACATATCTATACATATATATAAATCTCTAAGTCCTGACTGATCACTGACTCATCAACGCCCAGACCAAACCCTTGACCCTAGAAAGCTGAAATTTTGCACAGGGTTCCTTTTATGATGTTTACGTGAGATAAGAAAGGATTTTTTAAAATTCATCCCCTAAGGGGGTAAAAAGAGGGGTGGAATATTACAATATTTTTTATTTAAAAAACGGTCAAGTTTCCGAAAAAACGCTTAAACACGTATATTTTATTTTCTTTTTTTACATATTTTAAGATTTTTTAAAAATGTATACAGGGTGTTTCGAAAATCTGGTCATTGATTAATCACGATCCTGCTTAAAGCGCTTGACGTAAAAAGCTGATTTTTGGAAAACGGATTGACTTTAGGGTGTAGAGGTTCGATAAGAAGGATTTTTCGAAACTCGAATTCTAAGGGGTGAAACCGCCCCTCAAATATTAGAATATTTTTATTTAAAAACGGTCAAGTTTCCGCAAAAACGCTTAAACCCGTATATTTTATTTTCTTTTTTTACATATTTTAAGATTTTTTAAAAATGTATACAGGGTGTTTCGAAAAATCTGGTCATTGATTAATCACGATCCTGCTTAAAGCGCTTGACGTAAAAAGCTGATTTTTGGAAAACGGATTGACTTTAGGGTGTAGAGGTTCGATAAGAAGGGATTTTTCGAAACTCGAATTGTAAGGGGGTGAAACCGCCCCTCAAATATTAGAATATTTTTATTTAAAAAACGGTCAAGTTTCCGAAAAAACGCTTGAACACGTATATTTTATTTTCTTTTTTTACATATTTTAAGATTTTTTAAAAATGTATACAGGGTGTTTCGAAAAATTGATTAATTGGTCATTGATTAATCACGATTCTGCTTAAAGCGCTTGACGTAAAAAGCTGATTTTTGGAAAACGGATTGACTTTAGGGTGTAGAGGTTCGATAAGAAGGGATTTTTCGAAACTCGAATTCTGAGGGGGTGAAACCACCCCTCAAATATTAGAATATTTTTTATTTAAAAACCGGTGAGTTTTTCGGAAAAATTCTTAAACATGTATATTTTATTTCGTTGTTTTACATATTTTAAGATTTTTTAAAAATTTATACAGGGTGTTTCATAAAATATAACCATTGAGTAATCACGATTCTACTTAAACTGTTTGACTTTTAAAGCTGATTTTTGGCAAACGGATTTACTGTGGGGTGTAGAGGTTCGATAAGGAGGGGTTTTTCGAATTTCAAATTCCAAGCGGATGAAAACGACCCACAAATATTACAATATATGTTATTTAAATACGGCGAGCCTTTCGGGAAAACACTTGGACACGCATAATTGATTTTGTTTTTTACATATTT